GCCACATCCTCGCCACCATCTCTGCAGGTTGACAGCATACTTCAGCCCTGAGTCAGGAACCCAACACAGCTGATGCTTCTGAGCTGCAGCTGCAACTCCAGAACCAGTTTTTTTCTTCTTTTTTTTTACTTGGAACGCTTCCAGGGACACATGGTACATTTCTCATGAGTCTAACCTGTGTGAGACCTGATAAGCAGTGTTGTATAAAGTACCACAAAGTGATACTTGACTAAAAGTACATGTATCTTACCATAAATTTACTTAGGTAAAAGTTCGTCTCCTCTAAGAATATTACTTGAGTAAAAGTCTTAAAGTATCTAATATATTTTGTACTTAAGCATCAAAAGTATATTTCAGACATAAAATGTACTTAAGTATTAAAAGTAAAAGTATTGAGTAAAAATGAGTGGCTAGACTTCCCAAAATGACATTTATTGAGAGTTGATACCCTCAAAAACGTTTTTCTAAAGGCCAAAATGGATATTGTCATATAAAAATATTAATGTTAAAAAATTTAGGATGCACTACACATTTTCGTACCAGGATACAAACAGAATATCTGCTATGTTCTGCTGCAGTGTGACATAATTTGTTATTTGCAGCTGTGATGGTTTGTGTACAAACTAACACAGGATCAGAATAATATATATTTATACTTCTCATCCAACCACAATTAAATTCACTCTGTCCAGGAGGATAATATTTTTAACAACAAGCTGTAATGAAATAAGAGTAACGACTTTATACTTCTTACCCTTTTTTTAAATGTAATAAGTAGAAAGTACAGATAACTGTGTAAAAATGTAAGAAGTAGAAGTAAAAAGAAGGCTGAAAAGTAGAATTTTTGGGTATCTGTGCTTTACTTGAGTAATTATTTAAGTACAGTAAAGAAGTATTTGTACTTATAGTTACTTTACATAAGACACAGACTAGTGAGAGATTAAACTGAATTAGTCTCCTGTTTGTGCTGCTGTGCTGCATTTTAGGATTAAACTGCCTTTAACCTTGAATTACAACTTTTATTTGGATGTTTTTTCACCATCAACAAGATTCCTTGTTCTTATCTGTTTTTTAAAGAAAAAAGTATCAAATGAAAAAGTATCAAAAGGCTACTTCAAAGCTAAAAGTAGCAAAACATTTGCTAAAAGTATCAAAGGAAAGGCTATAAACTAAGGGTATCTCTGATACAAAACCTACTGTAAAGGTACCAAAATAATAATTCACTGCTAAAAGTAGCTAATAGCTAAAAGTAGCAGAACAGTAACTACAATTAGCAAGGGTTAGCTAAAAGCTAACAGTAATGAAAGGCACTCTGCTTTTAGCAAAATGCTATTTTACCTAAAAGTAGTAGAAATCTAGCTAAAATTCAAAAGTATCAAAAGCCTTGGTCAAGTGAAAAGTAGCTAAACACTAGCTAAAAAGATCAAAACACTATTTACAAATTTAAGGTATCTCTTGCTAAAGTTATAGGTGGTGGTGGTGGGCACCAGCCCACTAAAGTGCAAATCCTCTAATTGCGGACCTAAATATTTTATTTGCATTTTAGCGGTCTTACTAATTTTTATAGTTCATAAGTGGATTTGCGCTTTCTAAAATTAAAATGCAGTGACGCTAATAACTAATTATCTACCAGTCATCATTATGTTGAACAGCAGAAGGTATGACTGTCAATGAATCACAACACATGTGATCTATCATAATTGGTCGAAGCAATGGGGTTACAGACGCAAAAATGATTTAAAGATGTTATGCTGATGAAGACTGACATCTAGTGATCAAATGGAGCAACTACATGGAAAACTTTAAAATCCAAGCTTTTATTTTGAAGTGAAGATAGTTTCCTGTACTCCGTGCTTTCGTTTCCCGTCACAAATCAAATCCATCATGTACCCAGTATGCATCGCTTCAGTTTTCCAATAAACAGTTTTAAAATTACTTTAATGAAAAATCTACAACAAACAAAAGAAAAAGACAAAGAAGCAGGCGAACTAGCAATCCTCAACAACTTTTTAATTTTCACACCAGGAGCTAAAGGTCTGTTTCAGGAACTCTCATCCCCAGCAATCGCCGATTGTAGGATTAAGTTGTAAAAGAGTTCATACACCACTAGTTGGCAGTGTTGTGCATATATTGTACATGAATTATTGCCAGCTAGTAAATGTCAAAATGAACTTGTGCTTTAAAATTAGCTTCTGCTGGTTTTTCTATGGCATAAGCTCTTTTGAGGGTGCGCATCTAAATATTTACATAAGCGCTTTAGAAATTGCGGAGCTAACTTTTGGATTAGCGCTGCCCACCACTGGCTAAAGGTAACAAAAAGATAGTTAAATGTTAAAATTAGCACAACAGTAACTAAAAGTAGTAAGGCTTAGCTAAAGGTAGGAAAAGGCTAGCTAAAAGTAACAATAACTAACAGAAAAAAGAAGCAAAATACTAGCTTAAAACTAAAAGTAGTAGAAGAAGTATCAAATGGCTGGCCAAAAGCAATAAGTAAACAACAGCTAAAAGTCAAAAATACCAGAATGATTGCTAAAAGTAACAAAAGTGATAGCTAAAAACTAGCAAACAGAGGCCCCTTTTTATAGTTTTAAGACATAAACAAAGTTCTTTCTAAGAGCCATCTACTGCAGGTAAGATATTTATTTGTTCCCATGAAGCCCACAACCATCMCTTTGAGTCTGCCATTCACAGAACTTTAGAATAAAATGTATTTATAATTATTTATATAACTAATAATGTATTTCTTGTTAGCTTTAGTTAACACACGTTCTAAACTTCAAATAATTTATTTATAAATAAACTCAAAGCACGAGGAGACCCTTTTAAAGACTCACTGCATGAAATGAACCAACATGGACTCTGGCCCCAACAGAACCCTCAGTACCAGCCTGTTATGGTCAGAACGGGAAGCTGGACAGATGTTAAAGGGGACCGACGTCACATTCCATGATGCGTTCAAGTCCCTCGGAAAAACGCTGATGTGGAAATCCATGAGCTGAACACAAAAAAACAAAATAATTAGAAATGTTGTGTTTTCAGTATTGTCTGTACTATTACCTTGTTATTTATTATTGCAAGCCACTATAAGAGTAAGGGACTTAATGATAAAATCTATTTTAGACTGTTATTTAATAAAAAATAATAATTCTAATGTTAAGTATTTTAGATTTACATTTATAACACTTCTGCATTTACAGGCTTGTTAAAAAGGTGACATAAAACAGCAGAAATTAATATTATTTCATGTGCTGGTTTGGATTTACGAAAGCTATTTTTGTATCTGGTTGCAAAAATTGAGCCATATCCTGAAGGGCAAAGGAAGTCATTTTTGTGTTGATCTCTAATGCTTCTTCTTTGTTGTGGCGATCTGACGGAGCAAGAGATGTGTAAGTGTTAATTCAGACGTTTTGAGTATATTTATTAATATATCTTTACTGTAGCTTTTTAGAGGATGAGATTTTATTATGTTTGCATGATAAATAAATATTTCAGAATGTTGTCTTTCACTAYTAGTGCGTCAAAGAAACATGAGTCTTTCAGGAAGATTCAGATGTTGACATTGCAACATCGTGTTGTTTAAAAGTACCTGAACGCACCCAACAAACAGTCCATCTTTAAGTCTATGATGTTGCTTCAAAGATCTGAAAATTTCAGACAAGACAAAGCAACATACAGATCAGTATCATCTATAATTGTGCTTAGACTGATTTTTGTATTTTAATAATAAACAAAACAATTTAAATGTCTTTTAGGTGTTCAGTAAAAAGTTTTGTGAGATAGCAATACTGGTGTTATGAACAAAAGATACTTTATTTAAAGGTCAATAAATGTAAAAACATCTTGGTTTAAACAATGACAAAACAAATATGTGAACTCTGACAGGTGGACAATAATGTTTGTGGGTCTGTTTGCAGGTTTGACTGAACAAACACTGGCATGTTTGAAGCTTTGGGAGACATGCATCARTSTKGGGAATCTCAGGAACAATAGCTGTYTACTTTTGATTTATAACAATTTTCTGAAAGCAAAATCATAGAAAAAAGAAGCAAAAAGCCACATTAAATTTCAAAGTACAAAAGGGACAAGCTATTGGTTAAAGTAGCTTAAAATATGTCAAAAGCCCACCAAAAAAATTTTAAACAGAAAAATGTGATGTAAAAAGCTACGTAACTTTTTTTAATCTTAGCTAAAACTATCAATAAGCTAGCTGAAATATCAAAGAGTTAGGTAAAAGTATCAAGAAGCTATAGCTAAAGTATGAAAGGGTTAGCTAAAAGTATCAAGAAGCTATAGCTAAAATATGAAAGGGTTAGCTAAAAGTATCAAGAAGCTATAGCTAAAATATGAAAGGGTTAGATAAAGTATAAAGATGCTAAAGCTAAAATATGAAAGGGTTAGCTAAAGTATCAAGATGCTAAAGCTAAAATATGAAAGGGTTAGCTGAACGTATCAAGAAGCTATAGCTAAAATATGAAAGGGTTAGCTGAAAGTATCAAGAAGCTATAGCTAAAATATGAAAGGGTTAGCTAAAGGTATCAAAATTCTATATCTCTGGATGAAAGTTAAAAGTATCAAGAAGCTAACCAAAATATCAAAAAGATAGCTAAAAGTAGCAACAAACTAGCTAAAAGTTAAAGGTATCTCTAGCTAAAAGCTAAAAGTACTCATGAAGCTAGCAAAAATGTCAAAGGTTTAGCTAAAAGCTTAAAGTAGCATAACAGCAAACGGGTTAGCTAAAAGCCCAAAAGTAGCTAAATGCTACCTGAACGTAGCATTGGCTAACTAAAAGCTATGCTACTTTTAGCTTTAAAATACAACGTAGACACGTGAATAATAATAAAAACACACATTTCACAGTTCGTTTAAGCCTTAAAAGCACCTGAAAGCAGCATCCTCCACCTGACGCTAGAAGCGCGCTCCCTGCGTTTACGTGGCTACTCCGCCTTCACCACAACGTGCGTGCGCGCWCCCATCTATCGCGTGGTGGGGATCATCCATATTGCTGCTAGTGGTGGCGATAAGGTTGTTACCCTGTGAGGCCCCCACGGACACGTTTCTTTGAGTTTTTACGTGTTTCAACTCGGCGTCCGACCGCTCCGCGTGTCAGGCCGAAGCTTGTGTGGTCGAGGAGCGGCAGACCCCCGCGGAACAACTTTAAATCCCTCCCTCCCTGAAACTGAAGCTAATTCGGACCAGGCAGAAAAATAAGGAGGGGGGTGGGAGAGCTGGTAATCCTGAGGGGGGAAGAAAACGACGGCGGTGGGAAATGGCCACTCAGGTGGAGGCTCTCCTGCCCGGCAACCCGCTCGCCACAGCGGCGGAGGAGCACGGTAAAGCCCCGGACGAGGAGCCGGACAGCGGCCGGGGAGAGGAGGGGGCCGAGCGGAGCGTCACCAGCCCCGGGCAGGGAGGCACCGCCGAACGGGAGGCTGAACCGGGCAGCGGCGCCTGTGACAGCGACGACAAGCCGAGCGAGGAGGCCGGTAAAGGCGGCAGCAGGAAGGAGTTCACCGAAGCTCCCCCGCCCAAGGTGAACCCGTGGACCAGAAAAATGAACGCGGTGACCGTGGTCAGCGTGAACGGACAGGCTCACACCGGTACGTACCCCCACCCTGCCACAGGCTGTCAGTGTTGTTGTGACGGTTGTGTGTCCGGCTTTGGGCACACCTGGACAAATCAAGCTTTTACTTGAGCATTTATTATTAGTGTTAAAAAGGCCCAGCGCTGTCAGCCAGGTTATATTTAGAGTCCAGTCCTTATAGTCTGGGCTATTCTTAGGGTCACTGGGTGGCTGACTGCACAAGTAGGCACACCCTGCAAAAACACGAAAAATGTTCAATCACTGCCTTTTAAATATGTCTTAATCTTTATTTATCAACASAATTAAAGGTGCATTATTTCTAAAACAACCTTTGTGCTTGTCAAACAAGCTGCAGGTTTTTATCACATTTTTTAATGATTGTTATCATGCAGGGTTGCACACATTTACACTTTATTTCCTTTTAGTGACAATGTGCAGTTTGCTTCAACATGTTTTTGCTGCCATGCTAGTCTTTTCTGAACACTTTCTCCTGGGCTTGTTGAGTGTTTAAAGTAGTTTTTACTTCCCTGTACCTGTTTGTGTTGAAGATGTGCAGCTGTGCCAGACATTTACAGACTTGTCCACAGTCGTTGCAGCAGAATAAAGCCAGGAGCAGCCGGCTAACAATAGCACACTAACTTCTGGCCTAGTCTGTCGGCGAGCCCTTCCCACTCAGATGTTAGCTTAGCATCAGTGTTGCTAATCTTTACCTGCTGTTGTGTAGATGTAAAACACGCAGGCTGCTCGGGTTTCGTCGTGGTTCGGTTGTCAGCACCGGAACGTCATGTCCCGATGTAAAACTCTTTGTTTATTAGCTTAAAAAGGAGCAGGTTTGTTATGAGACGTCACGTGTTGATTCCACGTGTTGCCCGAGAGAAAAAGCTGCTAGCTAGCTGCGTATCGAGCTGTCTCTGCTTCCGAAGATGCTTTCTGAGTTGAGGGTCTCCAGTGTGAGGTAGTCGGGGTGTTTTTGTGTTTAGGGGTCCGGTTGTCATGTCGTGGATTTGCTGTCAGAGAAAAAAAACTCCTGTTTTCACCCTGCTAGCTGCCGTTAGCATCACATTAGCACGCAAACAGGAGCGTCATCACTTTTTGCAGCAGCGCTGCAATCACTAGTGTGGTGTAATCACTAATTTGTGATTGGGAAACACGAAGTTATGCCAAAACTAATACGTTATTAGTGAACTCAAAGCCATTTGAAGTGATTATTGATGAGACAACTCAGATTAACATTTAGATCCAAAGGTTATCTCATGTTTTATCTTATTTACAATTAACTGTCTTACATTGTAAATCTACTAATACAGAGGAGCCCAAAGTGGGGCCCGCGGGCCAAATTTGGCCCGCCAAGCCATTTGATTTGGCCCACCAGCAGTTGACATTGTTACTAGGTTGTAACCTGTCGTCCTTTGTAGAAAAAGTATTTCCACTTTGTCATTTCATCCATTGGCTCAATAACTAAAAGGGGCTGTGGTACAGATAGTTTTCACTCCTGGTTCTGACTTTATCTTTGATACATTAAGATTAAATATAAAATGTGAAATACAAGCAAAAAGTGACATTTAGATTAGATTTAACCCCACATGTAGATTTGCACACTTTATAAGGCCAGCAAAACTCATATTTTATTAATTTATAAAATTTCCCATGAACCTTTGCTACTTGAGGATATGGCAGATTTGTAGTGAGTGGTTTTATACTGGTCTGGTTCCCGATAATGAGCAGTGACTCCAAACTGAGGAACAATTTAAACTTCTCAGATTTATTATAGGAARATGACGCTGTTTGCTTATTTTAGTTTCTAAATGGTCATCAGAGACTAACATGTTGCTTTCACAGTTGTGTTTTTGTGTGGAACATGTATAACTGCTATCACAACGTGACACTTTGTTTTGTTGTTGCAATATTGTAGGGCTGCAGCTAACGATTATTTTAGTAATAGATTAATCTATTGATTATTCTGACGATTAATTGAGTAATCGGATATTAAAAAATTGTCATGTTCTGCGGTAATTAATTAAGCTTATTTTATGAGAAATACAATTATTTAATATTGTGAAGGGGTAATATACACCTGCTGATGACCCTGCTGTAATCAAAGTAAAACTAAACCAGTTGTATTAATTAATGCATTTTAAACTCCATTTGTTTGTATTTATGTATGTGAGGTTTGAGGAGGCATTAATTAAAAACACTCAGAAAAATCGAAATGCTTAAATTTATTCTTATTTATTGGAAAATGTTTTTGTTTGTTTTTATGTTAGAAATTTAATAAGTAAAATTGGTAAAATAAACATTTGGGTGTTGCAATTGGGTTTTGTAAAGTTCACTTGTTAACTGTAACAAAACTATTTTAAGACTGTTATTAGGTTGGTGCAGGGCTCCCATTTAGGCAATAAAAGATTTAGTCTTGACTGTTTAGCTAACTGTGTTTACATTAAAGATAGTCTATATAAAGTGTGAGCAGGTATAATTATAAATTGGACAACCGCCTATCTAACATGAAAAACTTGTAGGTTTATGAAAAAAATGCAGTGCAAAATGGAACACCCATAAGAGCAACAAAACCCCATTATTATTTTAAGCTGGGGCATTTTTTCATCTTTTGAAAGAAGACTTACCCATGTACAGTTTATTTCTTTTTTAAATGGTTTGTTGTTGACAAAAAAAAA